GTTTCATACAAACTTTCATCCCCCTATTTTATGTAGAATTAATCAAAATCCTTTCTTAGCGGATGCCTACGTCATAACATCTCACTGCATGCCAAATTTCAGCCCAATCCGTTCAGTGGTTTGGGCTGTGCGTTGATAGATCACTATGTCAGTCATCTTTGAGTTATATATATTTAGATATCTATGATAGTAATATGTTACTACAATTCACACAGCGCCGTCTAGTCCCAAGGTAACCAAAACTTATATTATGGGTATTACAAATGATACAAATACATTTTTTTTTTATACATAATATCGAAAAAAACCCAGTCCGGTAGGAACAATTATTTCCATAAAATCTATACGTATAAATAAAATTGGAGTGTCTGTTTGTAATATTGAAATAACCGTTTTTTACTACATGCATAATGCATATACATATAAATACGGTACATACACCAAAATAACATATTTTACAATTTTTGTCTCTTTGTTCCGGCTAAATCATTGAAATGGCTAGATCGATTTTGACGGGACTTTTTTTGGCAGGTAGCTGATGTAATAAGGAGTAAATTGGCTACTTTTATTTTAGAAGAATAAAGTTAAATTCCACGCGGACGAAGTCTCGAGTACAGCTAGTGTTAGAATAAGGTTTGAAGCACGGCACACAGTTTTAAGCAATATTTTTTAACACACAAAGATTATAGAAGAACAAACAACAACAAGACAATGTTTATAGAAGAAATATAGGTATTATAGGGTTTGTTTTTGATCAAAACAAGTTACATTACACGCCTATGACACACATACTTATCTAAATTAGACATGTTCTATTAACTTAATTGAACTATCACTTAGTATATCACCGAAGCGTAGCGTGCCTTGGTGGGGCCCCGTATTAAATTTCGTTTGGGGGCCCTTACGAAAGGTAAAGGAATAAAAATAATCTTTATTCAAATAAACTTAATATAAGCAGTTTTGAATAGTCAAGATTAAACAAAAAAACTCGAAAAAAAAAATTGTATAAAACTGAAAATAATTGTATAAAATTAAAAAAAAATGTATAAAATTTAATTCATCATAACTATCTGTCACTTTTTTCAATTTTTTTAGAAATAATTCAAATTAAGTATAGGTACACTCTCCTTGTCTTTTTTTCGGCAAACTGATTTATTACATCTTTTATAGCTGTTGCGGGGAAATAAGAAATTTGTTTTTTGACATTTGTCATTTTTGTAATAAAAAAAAATATATATACGGCAGTAACATTGGTTTGTACCTGAGTGTAAGTTTTAATGGATAAATAATTACAGCATCATCTGCTTCTTCCTTATCCTTATATTTACATTGTAAATAAACTGGCTTTTAAAAAAAAAGTAATTCAATTGAGTTTCTTGCCAGTTCATCTCAATTGGATATATATACTGAATTGGATGGTAGGGAAAAAATTACATTATAAAAAAAAACGTTCATAAGCGGCTAAAATATTCTACATCTATTTTTGAATTTGAATTATATCATTGACTTTTGGGACTATCTGTATAATCTAAAGGTCTCAGTATTTAAGGATGTAATTATTATACACTCTTTCCCGAGGAGATAAAAACCATCGCTCCTAAGAATATCCTTCAATTCTTGTCCCTGACGGGTCTAGGTAGCGAACTTCGAAAGGGCGAGCATAATAGATAGTAAGTAGGTCACAGTACTACAGGTCCAAGCACCTGACAATAGTCCAAATCCCCCAATAAAAAAAATATAAATGTGTATGGTTATAAGGGCAGAGGAAGGCCGAAAAAGAGATGGATGGACTGTGTGAAAGATGATATGGTGAGAAAGGAAGTAAATAACGAGATGACTGCGAACAGGGATGAATGGAAGAGAAAAACTTATTACGCCGACTACAAATAAATGGGATAAGGAAGAAGCAGATGATGATGACGTGGAAACCAGTTGTTACGTACTGAAGTTGGTTGACTCATCGGTGGAGACCGAGTCAATGAATTAACATGTCTAGACGGCTCAATAGTGCTATTGAATGGTATCACAGAAAGGATATTTTGGAGGTCTAGAGGTAGATCTTAAGAGGTCATATTAGGCACATCGATTTTGGAATAAAAAATATAATCCATCACAATTAAAAGTAGTCACCTCCGATCGATCCACCGTCCAACTCAAACGGAATCGAAATTACGACGGCCTGAGCCAAGGTTCGAAGCCCTAGCGATGCCATCAGACTAAAGTCGTATCCGTCAGGCGGGAGTTGGCCTTCAGCCGTAGGTCCTTCCGCGGGTTTGGTGAGCAATCTGCACTCGCCCCTATCGTCCGGTGAAACTGTATAGGTTAGCTGCGGCCTACAGCATTAGAGTAGTCCGGAAAAAAAAAGTGTCTTTGTTGCTAAGCACTTATGTCTAATGTGCAACTGTGATGAAACCAGATGAAATTATATTTATTGCTGCATATCCATTAGTCAGCTATATTAGCCGCCAAGTAGCTTGCTTTGTAAGCTTTTTCGATTGTATGGTCAGATTAGGCATGAAATTGTAGGATTATCTTCATCCAGACAAAGGTCATCAGCGAGGATACCTCTGTCAGCTACATATTGTGTTGCAAGCTGTTTCGATTGTAGGGCCAGATTAGGCAGTGAAAACAGGGTATCAGGTATGACAATTTTAAAAATTAAATTATAATGTAAAAATTTTGACGTTCACAAGCGGCTAATATGTCCTACATGAATAAATGGGTTCTGGGCAAGGCATATGTGGTTTTTCTGACTACTCTAATGCTGTTGGCCGCAGCTGGCCTTTACAGCTTCACCGGACGATAGGGGGCGAGGGCAGATGGGACTCCAAACAATGAAACGTGATTGTTAGTAATGTAGATTGTTGATCCCATTGCCAGGTATGTAACAGGCAGGATCTCCCTGGAAACCATCATTATAAATTGAACAGGACATTGTAGATTATATCCGTACCAAGAGTAACCTGATATTGAGGGTGACGCAGCTGAGGTCGAGTCAAAACGCGAGTTTCAAAGCGCTTGTGGCCCTGGTCCCCACCGACTTGCTGCCCACCGTCATGAAAGAGGACTACTGGCCGAAAGGTGTGGTATATCGGCGCTACCGTGGCAGATTGCCCTCTTCAGTGCCGTGATCACACAGACACGTATCTACGTATTGGTTTTTAAATATTAAATTATATGTATATTAGTCTATAAGGTATTTATAATATGGGCCTAGTTGCCTGCAATAAATGAATAAATAAATAAAAAATAAAATAAATTCCTGGTGAATTTGTGACGATGGGCTAACTGATCTGACCTCATTCTCATCATCCTCCACTGGTGCCCCGTCAGCGTAAACCGTTAGCGCAGGCGGGTGCACCATTCCATTATCATCAACTCTCATAACTTCAGCTGTACCCCTCACAGGATTACTGATGGAAGCCAATACATTAGCACCAAACAAGAAACAATAAGTTCCAACCATTTTCACTGCGTCTTCTTCGATGTCTTCACGAATATTGCCAGTTTCTTCTAAAACTCCTCAATATATTATAGTTAAATTTTTTTGCACGCTAGAATATATTATTATCCATCCTAAAGTGTATTTATTTCTAAAACCTTTTGAGCCCAAATAAATTAGTGCTGGTTGGTAGTTTGTATTCACACGTTTCGACTTGTAAAATGTGAACTTACAAGGATTGTTTAAAAGAGCAACACACAAGTTTCTTTCATTGTAATTGTTATTATATTATTATATATATTAATTATTATATTTTTTAATATTGGATTGGATAGATGAATTGAATGAATCTTCTTGTGATGAGACAGTTTTCCGAATAAACGGTAGATTTAAAAAAACATAGTTGTCTATTCAAAAGTGCTTAAATTAAGTTTATTTGAATAAATGATTTTCTATTCTATTCTAAAGTTCTCTATGAATTACTGCTTAAGGTTCAAATTGGTTTGTTGTGGATTGTAGACGGTGTAATAACTACTACATTATAATCATTAAAAAAAGCCACTAAGGATTTATGGAGACTGATGACTGACGAATACGACTCTAGTTTGAAGGCACCGCTATGGGTTCGAACCTCGACTCAGGTAAGTCGTGTAGATTGTAGTTTCTATCTCCGTTTGAATCCGTTTACCATCAGATGGGCCGTAAGCTTCTTTGCCACCTATGTGATATAAAAGAAATCGATCAGAGGGGATATAAGGGAGGTTGTGTCCCGCGTCTGCATAAAGTTTCATCCCCTATTTCACCCCGTCCCAGATAAATGTTGACAAAAAAATAGTCTATGCCTGTCCTTGTAATACAGTCTATCTTTGTCGCAAATTTAATTAAATTCGGTTAAGACGTTTAAATATAAAAAGGTTTTCATTTACAATTTTATTGTGGATGTGTACATCATTATAGATTTAAAGTTTCAATAGATAGGCCCAAATCATATGGTCTATGGCCACTAAGACATAGACAAACTATTGTCTGTACTCATAACGCAACATTGCAAGATGTTTTTAAATAAAACGAATATAAAATAAAAATATAGTTTCACTTTACTTGGATTAACACTAAGTATTGTCTATTTTTACAATTTTATAATATATTAAAAAAAAATTTTTAGCTAACAAAATTTTTCTTATATCAGGAACTTAAAAGAAACTGGAGTGACTAAGTTATTATAAATATTGAAAATTCGACCTTAAAGTAGAAGACTTAAAAGTTGAGTTTTCATAATTTGTATATTTCGAGTCACGCAGTTTATTAAGCTTGCGAATTAAGTAGAGATTACGAACATCCAAACTTACAATTTTTTTCTCTATATTTATATATAATATTAGTATAGAGATTTTGTTAAGAAATATACCTAACAATATAAAATGGCACATTATTAAATAACAATAATTATAATGTAAGTACCCACTAATAATATAATAATGATAACAAAAAAAAAATCCAGTCTATAAAGGATTATGAGGAAATTAAATATTTTCCTTCTAAAAAACATTTAGAAACAATATACAGGAAAATGGTCGATATAAATAACTGTGTGAAGCTATCTTAAAAACCCAAAGATCAAATGAATTTAACTTTCATGTCAGTTTATGTAACTAACTTTCAAATTATGGAAACATATAGTATAATATAAGATATCTGTCTAAATTATTCTGAAAGATGGCGCCAGTTTCGTCATCTATCAGGTTGAACATTTCATGTACCTCTTTGTCTTACAATTAAAAATATAAAGAAATCTTGATTTACAATAAATATATATATATATGTATATAATATTAATGGACCTTTTACATTTATTTTTTTATATATTTGTACTTTACAACAATACAACTACATATTTATACACAAAGAAACAAAATATTAAAAGATTTGCTTCTGTCTACTCACTATATTTTTTTTAATTTGAGGCAATTAGATAGGTATTATTCAAGTACAGTGTATGGCGAATATTCGTTTGAATTATCTCAAACAAAACAACTTAAACAATTAAAAAATATTTTAACTCAATCGGAAACATTCACACAATTTGACATCAGAAAAAACAACATTTAGAAAGCACTGTGTACATCCCTAATTTAAAACATACAATATTCAATCTGAATTGCATAATTCCCCAGACTTCAACGTAAAAGTAAAAAAAAAATACAATTAGCGATGTACACTAGCCTCAGAATAATAACTAAAGCAATATGAATTACATTAAAATATCAAGTAAACACTATTCATCTCATTTTGTCTTATGGAGACACCGGCAAGTTAGAAGAGATCGACTATAGCTACAAATGACATTTCGAAATTCGAGAATTTTATTTCATTACTAGTTTATTGTCTATGTTTGTTGTTGTGACTGATTTTATTTGAGGGTTGGCATTATTTTATAATTTTTAATTAATAAATTGTAATGAAAGCTTACAGTTAATTTTTTTTTTCAGAATTTCAAATTGTCGTTTACATATGCAATCCGTTCTAATTTATTAGAAAGACCATAAGTGAAAGTGTGATAAATATATAAAACAATTCCGTTTCTATATCACTTTAGCTATTGTTGTTAGGCACTTTTATAACACGCTCAAGCACCAATTACAATAATCACTCAGTATATATAACAACACATATGCAAACTTACAATATTCAACAAACATTTGGCAGACCTCATTATCTCAGGCACCGTACCTATCCTACAAGGCAACAAAACTACCAGTATTATCACAAGTTCCAAAAAGGCGCTATTTCTCCAGATGCTGACACAGACCGCAGAGGTCGTACGTCTCCTTACTGCTGTACGAGGTGATCCTCGGCTCCATGCTGCATCTCCTCAGCTTGTTCTTCAAGCAATCCTCGCTCGATTCTATCAGATACCGCTTGCCAGGGTCCATGAACGCGGCAGTCTGAGATAGGACACTCCGATCGCCGTATACCAAGACTGCGTTGTACCCACTGATAGGTAAGAACCCTTTGTTGTTAGTAATAAAGCAGTTACCACAGCGTCTCGATTTGAACACGTCCGCGCCCTCGGGGTCCGAAAACACCGGCACGTTTGGCGCAATGAGGAACAAAAGCGGATACTTATCTCCTCGCATTTCGTCTTCTACAAACGTGAGGGTTGTATCCGGAGTGATCGCGTACAATATCAGTAGATACAATATTACGTAAAATAGCACAATAAATACAGTCTTTTGTAATTTGGACACTTGACGCCAGCACATACTGCGGCGTGACTTTATGTTTATACATTTTTCACTCGCATTCCACGACCGCCACTCGCTCGCGTCTCTGACAGAGTGAGACGGACGGAGTACGGTCGATACCCCGCGCACTGCTACAACTGCAGATAATCCGCGATGATAATAAACTTTAACGTCACGTGTTAGAGTCTTAATTGATTTATTGCTGGTGGTGACGTATACAGCGTGACAAGTTCGGAGGTTTTGCGTCTGGTGGAACGTCCTTCGATTTTGAGCTTAATTTTTAACGAGTGTGGATTGATTTTCGATTGGTTTTGAAGTGTACGCGTGCGTGCAAAGCGTGATGCGGCAAGATGACGTGTTTCTACGAACGTTGACAAGATAAGATTGCAATAACTATAAAAGCTACAAAACTTAAAATAACCGGAAATGAACCTATTTACACTAGGAATGTTTCCTCAACTTACATTATTTAAGGAGTGTAACATATATGTCATACTAGCTCTTACTCGCAACTTCGCGTGGATTTTTTAAATATATGGTCCAGCTAGTCAACTAGCACTTAGTCGAAACGTCGAGAAAGGTAAATACCTTTATTTACCACAAAATTATTCTTATTAAGATTCGATCGATTAACTATATCGCACATCCCGTGTAAAAAGGCCGCAACTACACTTGCGTCAAAAATGTTTTATTACATAAATAAAGCGAGCTTCACGGTTTACACCTTCTGTCAAAATCTCATGAAGCTATCGACGAAAAAATGAAGGATTAAATGCAAAAATACTAAAATTTTGCGACTTTAGAAAACATAAAATTCCAGCATAAAATAGAGGTATGCGTATTTGCATTTATTCGCTTTACAATTATCCCGTTCATAAAGTCATAATTGTATTTACGTAAATTTTAAAAGAAGATTTACAAAAAAATGTTTAACGTAAATATACTTAAATACTTGTTCCTATATCTTACAATCTAGGACTATTGTGTAATTCTAATTACTTACTTCTTCTACGAAACTTTTAGCTGATAGTTTATGTGTGATTATTGTTACATACTTTCCCCCCAGCAAAACTTCACAATGCGTAAAGTGTAGTTGTAGTTACTTCTTTATTACACCTAACATTTCATACCTGATGTTGGGTAATTTTAAATACAGCATGTATTTACAAGAAAAAAAAAATAAGAATATGTTCATGTAATGAAAAATTAAGTAAAAAAATAAACTATTTTTAGCTAATTGTATAAGCTGACGGGCACCAATGATGGATGATAGGAGGAGCAGGAGATCAGATGAATTTGCCAGGAATAGTAATAATAAATGATAGAAAAATCGATCTGCATTTAGACATTTATCATAGAAGAGCGAATTGATAGAAGTGTATATAAAAACAATAGATAAAAAGAATACTTCTACTTTAAATATGGATAAACGAATATACAATTGCCAGTGAATCTTATTGTAGGTCTAACAGGAATTAACTAACGATGGTTTCCAGGATGGACCGCGTGGAACTAAATGTACCTTATATTGCTATGTATATAATGTAATAATATTCAATATTAATTCCCACTGGTCATAATAGGTACACATACAATACTAGCTGGTCCCGCAAACGTTACTTTGTTATAAATTACTAGCTGTGCTCGCGTTAAATTTCAATAAAAAATATATCCTGTGTTATTCAGATGCATAAGCTATATTAGTGTAAAGTTTCGTAAAAAATCTATTCAGTAGTTTTTGCGTGAAAGAGCAACAAAGATCCATACTTACAAACTTTCACGTTTAGAATATTATATTAAGATTAAGATTTCTGAAAACTATTAAAGTACTAATCAACATAATTTCAACTTGTGTCTATCCACAGTTGGATATAGGCCTGTCCCAATTTGGCTTTGGTGGTCTAGCGGTTAAGCACACCGATTTACTTCCAATGGTCGCGGGTTCGATTCCTCGGACGGTGCAGATATTTGTATTCATGAGTAAGATTGTTTGTGTGGGTCTGGGTGTTTTCTATGTATATGTTTCATGTATGTATATAAAATCTAAGTATTTATTGATATAAAGCTCTTCATACCGTGTGACTAGAAGGCGCTGTTAATTGTTGAGTATTATTTATTTATTTCCCAATTTCTTACACCATGTGCGATCTTCCGCCTTTTGTTTCCATCGACTCCCGGTCACCTTCGTGATATCTTCGGTTCATCTTGCAGGAAGGCGCCGGACACTCCTTAACTTATATTAGAACTAATATCGCTATTAAAATATAAGAGTTGGTGGTAGAAGAAGGAAATGTAGGAGTTCAATGTATGTATTATTATGATTTTTTTATGATTCAGTTAACGATGAAGGTGGTCCAAATCGAGAAGGCTGTCGATAACATACTAATAGACCAATCAAAATAAGAAGTAAACCAAAAATGTCATTGATCAAATTAATATGTTTCCACATAAAGAATCGCATTATCTCCGCAATCTAACAATGATAAATTCTAGATGAAAAGCATAATTGCGCTAAAATGCATCGTTTATACTTATAGTGCATTAAGAAAAACCCAGATTATGTAAATGTTACTCCAGCCTCTCAGAGATGGTACTATAATATTAGGTCCTTACATATGAAATTGGTGTTTTGTCGTACTGGCCACTTTGATCTCAAATATCTCCTCTTTCGCCAGGAATTCAAAGTTCAAATTTGTACAGTTATTTACTCATGCATTTGTTTTTCGAAAACCGTAATCCATATGTTTTTTCCATCTTTGGTTTTTTCTTTACGTCACTGAGTTTACAAAATGGAAAACATAAAATATCACGTTTTTAAGAGTACGAATTCCGTCGTGGCACCAGTGTGCAGAAACGACTCGAAGAATTAATGATGTGTATGGCGATGGTGTCGCAAAAACACAGTGCGTTTTTGTTCCAATGTTTTCGTTCTGGAAATTTCGATCTGCAAAACAAGCCCCGTGAGCAGCCAGAGTCCAAGGTTGATAATGAAGAATTAAAGGCTAATGTGAAAGCGGATCCATCGCTAACCACGTCCGAGTTAACTGCAGGCTGCAGTGTTAGTAACAAAACTGTTTTAATCCACTTGAAGCAAATTGGGAAGGTGAAAAAAGCTTGAAAAGATCATGAATTGAATGGAGCAAATCGACAAACGCGCGTAGACTGCTGCGTTACTAGCTAACCGGCATAATAATGAAGGGATTTTAAATCGGATCATTACCTGTTATGAAAAGTGGATCTTGTACGATAATCGGAAACACTCATCGCAATCCTAGCAAACTAACCAAATCCTGCCCCAAGCGAAAATTCAAACTCAAAAAAAGTTACTTGTGAGCACTTAGTGGACTAGTGCCTGTGTTGTTTACTTCAGCTTTCTTATATCTGGCCAGAATATTACGGCAGATGTGTAATGTCAGCAATTGCAAACCATGATGGAAAAGCTAGCTGCTAAACAACCGAGACTGGTCAATCACCGTAGGCCACTGCTGCTTCAGGACAACGTTACGAAATTAGAAGAGCTTCAAATGTCCAATATATCCACCGTACTTCCCGGATCTTGCTTTCTTTCAAAATTTGGATAACTTCTTGCAAGGGAAAAAATTCAAGTCCGATTTATCGATACCCGTCCTAATGGTTTTTTAGTAAAGGGATCAATAAAACTACCTATCAAATGGCAAAAGTGCATGAATAGCAATGGACCATATTTTGATTAAATAAATGTATTATATTTTGAAAAACCACTGAAATTGGCGTTTTGTAATGGAGTAATTAGGTTACTCCCTTACAAATTTCATATGTTAGGACCTAATATATTTACTACACGAGTTGGAGTAAAATTAAAGAGATTTCGGCAGATCCTCAATGTCCGGGCAAATTCCAAATAAAATACGCATTCGCTGATGAGACACCAAATAATAGACAAATAGAAGGGGAAGAGTTATGAGAAAAAAAGAGCTGCACACAGTGAACCTTCTGAAATCAAGCATTAGTATGATGCACCGCTACCGATATCTAAAATATATACAAAGACTTGATGAATCTATATAAAGACAAAAACATACCACCACGCTATCAGATGTTTTATAAGAACTTAAGTACTAAGTCTAAGACTAAACTAAACTAAACCACAGAGTCCGATTCCAAAGTTGAGGATAATGAACATTAATAAAAATAATAAAAATATCACTATTTTGAACATTTTTTGATTAAGTTGATTATGGAGGCAATAAACATTTCTTTAAAAATAATAATAAATTAATAATAACCCTGTTTGTTTTCATATTCTCTAAATTAATTTGCCCCTATATTTATACTTTTGACTTACATGCACGCACATAATAGACTATTTACTGTAAGAAGTAGGTATTACATGATACAAATTAAATATTCAGTTACTTTCCGCATTATAAAAGCTATTTTTATAAATACACTAACTAAACTAAAATAAATGGCTCCCTAGAAATACGTAACTCGATCTACAAAAAATGATATTTCGTTAAATAACAACGTAATTATACTTGCAATTCTAGATTTTAATGAAATATAGGAGAGTATAAAGGCGTAAGTAGAGTTAAATTTGTTCATATATTTAAAAATACATAACAATAAAGCAATAATTGTAGTTACCCCTGCAAATGTTCTTTGTGTTTCGTGGAATACAGAAGTAACCGTGTTTTTTTAGATTATCTGGAAGTACATGAAGCTGTTCCTAAATTAAATGACACATGTAGTTGAAGGCAACTGTGACCTACGATTTTCTCTTTGAAACTTATTTCTAGAACTCATACAAAAAATATAGGACAGTTTTTTTAAGCTCCTGAAAAGTTGGTGAAAATCACTTACTTCGTTTTTCCACGAATGGTGCGATATCATTACAAAAAAGAGCAATACACAAGTTTCTTGCTCGTTCTTCTTGTGATGAGACAGCTTTCCGAACGAGTGGTAGATAAAAAACAAATTGTTATGACTATTCAAAAGTGCTTAAATTAAGTTTATTTGAATAAATGATTTTCTATTCTATTCTATTCTATTACATAAAAAAGTATAAAATAAAGTCGCTGTCGCTGTCTGTCCGTCCCT